ATACACAATCTGTTTGTAAAGGTGCCCATGCATATCGCTCCCCGCCCAGCCCTGGAGCTGGAAACCCACCGTTGTCCTGTCAGCCGTGCTGGCTGCCTGTGATGTGATGACACTGGCGGCACAGAGGTGAAGCGCAAAGCTTGAAGTGGCATGCTCAGACAAAGCCGTGCTGCGTGCAGGGACCCCTGGCATGGTACACAACCCGCTGCTGTGCTCAGGGAGGCTACGGATGTACCTCTTCAGGCTCTCCTCCTTGGCACCACTACCAAGCATTCCGACAAGCGTCCTCTCCACCTGTGAGGACGGAGACAATCTGTTTGCGCGCCGAACACTTCTCAGCAACAACCTGGCACAGTATTCACCTCATTGCCAGCCGAGAATCTCATTGATACGAGATCGTCTGGCTTGCTGCGCCTTGGCACTGTAGCAACCCACTCAATGCCATCGACAATAACTATGAAGGTTTCTCCGGTGCGGCACTATGAAGGTTTCACACGCAAAGTTAAACACTTCACGTTTAAGGTGTTGGCCTATTTGTCTCTTCTGTAAGTACAGGTCGCGTATCTGCATAAAGGTACCAGATGGTGCCATTTTCACAGCAATCACATAGTGCTAAACCCAGTGACATTTCTTATTGGTGCTGCAAATTGTCCAAATGTTCACATGACTTCTGGGCAGCAAGAGGTGAAATGCCGTGCAATTCCGGACCCTGGTCCGGAAGTGTACGGCATCTTGAAAATTATGCTGAATCCTGGTCTTAACTTCGCAGAATTGGACAGTACCAACGAATCGAAGCCGATGTGCTCATATTTTGTAGATGACATCCAGGCAGAATAGTCCAAATAGCGGACAGGGGTCCTCGAGGTCTGTGTCCCCAGAACGGTCGTTGAGGAACACACTTGAAGAAGAGAGAGCTCTCATCATCCAGAGGAATTTAAAGAAGCTAGCAAGCCTTGGACTACAGGTCGCCAGGCCTTCAAGCAAGCCTCCATCTCGTCTGCCAAAACAGCGCTCACAACGAGGAGCTGAAGAAGGACACCCTCGACAATCAGCACGTATTGCTACTATGCATGCTGCGACAAAGAGGAAAGCCGCTGCCGCCGAGGGTGCAGTCCGCAATAAGGTATGACCGGGTCCAGATCGGGTCAAACCATTCATTTCCCTTCATACGGTTACCGCAGACCATTTCTCTCATTCCAATTTTCCAAATTATACTGTTTGACGCGATCTGGGTTACAAGTGTTTCTCTTAGGTTCATGTTTGCAATCACGTGCATTTTCACGGGATGCCTTGCTCCATGTCAATGTCGGCAAATAAAATGAATGCATGCAAAGGCAACAGATATCTGGGATCGATCCCAACCCATTTCCTCCTTGCAGTGCAGAAAAAACGGCCCAGGACCGACGATGATGCAGCCATAGAAGCTGCTGTGGAGGTCGCACCTGACCCTGACACCTACCTCAGCATCTTCACCGATGCATAAAAACAGCATGCTAATTCACACGGCCTTATGCTGAACAATGAGGCCGGCCGTGTCCTGGCGGCCATCCTTAGCTGGCCATCCCAGTACACCCTGTCTGCAAGCAACGAGGGTACTTTCCTTCGTGCCTACGAGGTCTGTGAGAAGCTCTGCGACGTGGGCGGTCTATGTGGGGAGGACTTCACCGATCCAAGGCGGCAGGCTGCCACGGTGTTCACAGATCAACTTGTGACCGTCCTGAAGGAGGGGCCCAAGCCGCTCAAGCCTGTGGAGCTTCAGCGCCTCTCCGCCGGCCTGGCAGCTATGTGCGGGGGTGGCAGGGGTCGTGCAAAGAAGCCCAAGCGGTCCAGCATGCGCTGCTGCAGGACCAGCACCACCCCTACAGACCGCATTCTTGATGACTTCCGGGATGACTTCCTTGCTACGAGCATCTTCGAAAACATCAAGGTGGGTGTGTGGGTGGGGTTTCATGGTGTACAATCTATTCCTATCCACTGGCTGATTGACATTCTTCATCGAACAAGCACCATGTCCTAGAGGGAGAAACCAGATATCCACACCACAGTGCATGCCGCCAGATCTAGCGCAGATCTACACCACAGTGCATTGTTGTTTGTGCTTTTGCAGAACTTGAAGCCGTGCCTGGCAAAGATCGTTGCAGACTTTGGGGGGGTTGATAAAGTTGCTTCTCTGGTGGGCATGAAGAGGCACGAAAAGGTCACGGAGGACCTCGTCTTTGATAAGCTGCACGGCGCCACTAAGACCAAGTGGAGGAACACACGGCACCTAAAGAAAGGAGGTGTGATGGGGTTTGAAACAGCTCTGCACCGAGGGCTAAAAATCAAACTATCTCTTTTTATATAAAATGCTATTTCATAATATTTCCTCTTTATTTAAATTGTATATTGGGTCTATTACAACTAGTATAACTAGATCCAATATACAATTTAAATAAAGATTTTCTATAGAGATCTGGTGTACTTTAGTTTGCTAAAATTACACCAGGCAATCTCTGTATTCCCTATGGCAGTCCGGAGACGTGTAACTCGTCAGGCTCGGTAGCTACGGGGCAGTTGTCTGGACAGGTTACTCGCCAGCTAGAAGCTTGATAAATGTGCAACCTTGAAAGTGCCATAATTAGGCACAGATATGCGCGCTGAGTGTGTGAAATGTTATGACGAGGTTAGTTAACATGTTTGCCATCAAATATGAGTGTAGGGAGGCATTATTTGTCCTTATGATTTGCTCTCTACCTATGGCCATTTGGCAGTCCAGAGACGTGTAGCGCCCAAGGCTCAGCAGCTACGGGACAGTGGTCTGGACGAGGTTGTTTTTGACGTGCAGCCCCGAAAGCACATTGGGAAGCATGAATATAACTGGTGAATGCATCATCAGTGAGGTTTAGGTTAGTTTAGGTGTTTGCCACCTGTATTGGTGCTCCGATGTAACATGACCATTGGTAGTCATGGTCATGGCCCAAAGGAACGCCAATTGTTCAAGCACAAAGTAGAATATAGTTCATGAACAAAAAAGTACATAGGCAAGGTTACCCGAGGCCGACGCCGATCGACATGGTCGACCAGGTCCGCCAATGTAGTGGGTCCATGCCACAATATCCGAAAGTCGGCTCAAATCATTTAAAACCGTGTCAGGTTTACTAAATAAAATTACAACCGACGAGGTTTCCATGCCATTGGCTGACATAACCGCTCATGTACGGCTTTGGCTATTATGGCTTCAATGTCCTCTCCATCAAAAACATATCTTCATTACGAAAGACCAAAGCATGTAGCCATAACTCCCAACTCAGTCGAGCACGATATGGGCCAAGTATTGTTGCTAATCGGAACCGCTTCAAGTGAGAAGGAATTCGGAACAGCTTCCATTGGGATAAGGGATTTGTGTTATATTTTAGTATGCCTTGTAGCAACGTTAAAATAGAACTCACCGCCACTCACTGTCGCTGAACTAGCTTTAGTTATCCTTGGCTGACATCCAGCCGGGAATGGAGGCGGGTGGCCACCGTAAGGAGGAATTGGGCTCGCTTGGAGAGGTAAGATGGGAGGGAGGGTCGGGGCTGTTATATGTTT